TCCGTTAAACTTAACCGGATACCGTTACTGCCGTTAGGAATATTCCGTTAAAATTAACGGAATATTCCTGTTTCTTCTCCGGCCTACCCTCGCCGGACTCCGGTCACCGGAAAACTGGGAAAACTTTAAACTCACTATTCTCCTTCGTTTTTCAACCAATTTTCATGATTCTTGAACCAAAATGAAGCTTAGACCTAGGTGAATCACGATAGACTACTTTTAAAGGCTAAAAACCACACGATCATACCTGTCTTCAAACTCAAAAACCGGCCAACTTCGAACCAAGCTTTCCCGACGTCCAAATTTGTCCAACGAAGCACTTCGAGGGTCCTGGGAACCTCACAAACACAACTACAAGCTTCAAAATCCCAAAAACTAGCTAGGTTAAATTTGCATGAACAGTACTCAAATCTGAGCTTAAGAAATCGACGTGAAAACGACTGGTTTCTCACCTGGAAATGGTACAGCTGTACTCCCACGAGCTTCACGAGCTCGAATATGGCCTTAGTTTCTTCAATCTGTGATGATTTGGTTTAGTTGTGTGTGTGTGTCCGTACGTTGCAGGAAGAAGAAGAAGAATAGAGGACTCGGGGGAGAGAGAGAGACAGGGAAAGTGACAGAGGAAGAGGGAGAGTGAGACAGTGTGTGTGCAGGTGTGGGTGTGGTCCAACACATGCCACACACACAAAACAACCAATTACGTCAAAAAAAACGAACTAGGGGCAAAGTTGACAATTCACATGTACGTTTTAATATTTCCGGGACGGGATGTCACAATAACATTTTGTAAACTCTTTTATTCCAATTGAGATGTCAAATTAAAATTTTGTTTTGGTTATTTATAAAATCAAGTGGGGCCATAATTTAATAATAAAATAATCAATAAGTGAAGAAAAATAAAAAAAATATGTGGGCCCATTTTTAAAATAAAACAAAAAATTTTTATGTAGGATTTTTGCATCTCCTTTCAAACCAGAAACCAACCTTTTTGTCAAAATAGTCCAAGTAGAATTTTAACATCTCCTTCATCTGGAGATACTCTAAAGTGTCTTTCTTGTTTGTTTAAGAATCACTCATTAATTAGATGAAGTTTAGCAAGTGTAATAGAATTTTTTTTTTTTTTTCATGTGAAAGAAATATTATAATGGGTAAAACCGTTACTCAATGGGAAATTTGTAACCCGATGAGTTTGGTTATGGGAATCCCTGTTTGGGATTCTCCAGTTTTGGGTTCAGCTATGAGGATGGCATATCTGAATCCAATCCACCTCGTTGCATCCTAATCTCACCTCTTGCGAATGACGTATATTTACTATATAAATTTTACAATTTGAATTGTTCAACTTCTTAATCTTCATTGAAGATTAACCCTATATAACCCTATATATAAAAAATAAATCAAATCGAAGATTGTTTTATGCATTCAAATGTATGAAACAAATCGACAATGCGAGTACCAAAGTATATATTCATGATGGACCGTCCATTAACATTTGAATGACCAAATGATCTATGATTCAATGATTATTTTGTAGAAATGATCTTCAAATAAAGATTCAGAAATTGCACGGTTCCAATAATAGTGTTTATACAATGAAAATACGTTATTCGTAAGGAGTGAGATATGTGCATTCCCCTGTAGGAGAAGCAAGTATTATCCAACTTGAGTAGTGTAATTCACAAAAATTTGAAAATTTAACACTAATCTACAGTAGGGAAAATAAGGGAGAATTTAAACAAAAGACGTACTGAGTTGAAGAAGAATGTCAAGACAAGAAGAGTTTTGAGTACCTATGAAATGATTATTGGGTGCTCTTTTATGTCGAATTTCAGTTTAAACTGAGTAGTGAGTACCCACCGGAATAATAACAGGCCCAAATCACAACCTGTGCTGAAGTCTTGTTAAGAGTTTAGATGTCAGGCCCATACTCAACTTTGAACAATGCCACTCTTTTTCTGTCCCGGAAACATAGTCTTGATTAAAATGAACAGTACACTATGAGGGTGAAACTAGTATTACGTTTGAGTGATATTTCTTATGTCTAACCCATTGTATAGGGTAGCTTTAACTCCCACTTTGTATCGTACAAAGGAGACGATATCAGTTTTGCAAAGTCACGATACGCAGATAAAATGTGACTGTTCAATCACCTGGACAACCTATTTAGAGAGTGCTAATGTTTTATACCAATAAAATTCATGAAGGAAGAACCTAACAAGAATCAAAGGAGAAAAAAGCAAAGAAATAAATTGGAATCCAAAGTTTTTGGTCTGTCTGTCTGCATATCACGCTCTTCTCAAGTCAATCTGTAACAAAATTTTCGGGCATTCTCTAGTGAAATATCTCAGAGTGGTAATGAATCACAAATTGACATTCAACTGTTGCAAAAGATAAACAGCACATAGAAAAGCGATGATCTTAACATTTCTCAGCAGCGAGGAATCATTCCTTTGACCTGCACTACATGGTAAGCTGCTTCCACTGTAGCAACCTTTCTTCTGATGGATCCCTTCACCGCGATTTTCTAGTACAAACGTGGAGTTTGTCTTCCCATTGCGGAAGGGAACACTCCAGAAGAATGGCCCTTTGTGAACCCGAACCATTCGTACTCCCACCTCAGTATGTGATTTATTTCTCAGAATTGATAATGCCTTGTTGTCTCGAACAAGAACATGTGCAAACGCTAGTGAGGGCTCAAGATACTTCGATTAGCAACCCACAATACGGGCAGTTATGGTGTCGAAAGTGGGTAGTTCCACACCACAATTCGGGGCAAAAACTTGGGTGAAGTCATCTTCAGATGGTTTACAGTTCACGGTGTTGTTGCTAGGGCAGTTTCCCTTGCACAACTCAGCATATTGCAGGGCAATGCACCCGAGTCCAGGACTGTCATTTAGTTTTGGAAGTTTATGAGCTGTTCGATTGTTGTTGATTATCTCAACAAGTTCATTTGCAGGGTTTCCTAAGGGAGAAACTGCACTCAATGTCACGAAATCAACATATGTGGTCATACAAAATACAATCACTATCTCCAAAATAAGATACACTCTTAACAAACAAGTAGTCCAAAATGATGACCACGTTTTCTAAGTTAATCCAATTACATTGATCTGACAGTTCAGGAATCATATGCGGGATGGGACAAAGTCAGCAACGACACCACTCTTTCCAACTCTCACCAAAGAAGTCCTACAAGTACCCTGATGAACAATTAGTTGGGATTCTGGTCCCTGCATTTTGTTAATAATTGTGGAAGGGAAAAAGAGTACCCTGATGAACAACAGTAAGATTGAGACCGATGAATTGGTTTTGCCATTGCGGATTTTGGATGGATTAATATTTGAGAATATTGTCGAAAACTAATGGAGGCTATGGTATTCTTAATCTTTAGTTATGCAAATATTCATGAGAAAAGCTAATTAGCCGTTCATCTATTGCCAAAGTGCACAAAACACGCTGATAATTATTACAATGTTAGAATCCAACCACTTCACTTTCCTGATGTGGAGGAATTCACACTCTCAACACGTCCCCTCACGTGTGCAGTTACTTACGCTAAACACGCAGACAATACTTCTCAGACACAATTCTAAAAGTACTGATTAAAAATGCGGTCATCTTTATGACCACCATTTGAGGGAACTAGTCAACCCTAGCTAGGAAATTTCAGCACAATTCCTAGCTGTAAAACGTAAAAGCTCAAACAAGTTATAATTTTAGAGGAAAGATAAAAAACAATCTGCAAGTTGAGATTGATAGTAATAGTACCGTGGTTTTTGGAGCAAACAAGAGGTGCTAGTAGTAGATGACTCAAGATTATGAGGCACCCCCAGCAACAAAGTTGCTTCTTCACCATAATCTCTCGCTTGTGAGAAAAATTTGGGTTTTGCTTTACTAAGAAAAAGGAGAGAGAAAGGAAAGTAGAGAATAATATGACAAGGGTATTGATTATTTGTTCATGGAAAATACGGGATAGATGTGTTTGGCTGGTGGGAAAATGCGAGTGAGAAAGCAGAGAGATTTTCCGAGAAGAGGAAAGGGGAAAAAAGTGTGGGGAGGAAAGTGCTTGAATACCGATGGAGTGTTGCAGAGTTTACGAACAAAAGGATGGGTGGTGGTGGACCCTTGTAGCCATTGTGTGTTCTGTGCGTGGATTTCCTTTGGTTTAGAAAAATGTAGAGGAATTGAAAAGATTGGAATTGGGCTAGTGGTCCTTTGTCGGACAAGTTGAGTTCTTGCATGATGAGATTGAAAAGATTGGAATTGGGCTAGTGGCCCTTTATCATAGAAGTTGAATTCTTGTATGTTAGCGTGAATTTGAACTTTGTTGGTAGCTAGTATAGCATCTAATTTAACAAAATCTATCGTTTGACAAAAAAGAAAAATTGGAATTGGGTGATGGATTAACGAAGGGGAGAGAGGGTTTTTGGGCCAGCTGTTGCAACACCAAACCATTTGTTAGAAAGACAAGAGTCAATGATCGCGTCATCACGCAACCTAATTAGGTTACCACTTGGATCTGGTTCGACGTTATTTTGACCTAACTCGATGATCGTCAGGTTCATCTGGGTGACATTTAGACCGACCTGATGGATGCCGAGCCCAAATCGTGGATGCTGAACTCCCAACATGAAGATTCTCAAATCAATTTGGAAACTGTCGAACCTGACAGTATAACCTCCGAACTTGGATAACAACTTAGATGGATTGATAATAAGTCGAAGTAACATCTTAGTCTAACAAGACAATGTCATGTGTTAATCTAATTCCATATGACATTTGTTCTTAAACGGATATAACCGTAATAGTGTACCCAAACCATCCAAGTCCTCTCTCTCGAAAGTGACTTGGTGACTGTCAGGTCGGACCACTTTTTGCATTACGGAACAAAGTTTGATACGCTTCTATTGCCCACAAAAAAGTTAACTAGCCCAGCCCAAGAAATCATAAACGGGCTCTAAACAAACATTGCAGCAGACCCAACTAATCTCAGTTTTGGTAGCACACACAACGCAACAACAGAAAACGTCGGGGAGCCGAACCATCTAGAACTCTGCTGGTTCAGCGACTCTGTCCTTATCTCACACCACCAGGCACCAGGGTTTAAGATATCTCCGCCACTTCTTCCAACCCCAGCATTTCTTCACTCTCTCTGCAGCTCCTCTAATATACCCCTTTACCTTTGTTAGAGCTCTGCCATGGCTTCTACTTTCGTCACACTACCAACCCCTTTGCTGTACAAACCCAACACTGCTTCTCTGTCCAACAGCCAGAAGCTACTCCCAGGTGTGTTGAATTTACTTCATTTCCAAACCCTTTTCTTAGTTTCTCGTATCTCTGTAAAATTTCTGTACTTTTTTTTTTTTTAATTTTTTTTTTATTATGAAATGTTGTTGATTTTGATGAATTGTGAAATGGGTTTCGCTCTCAGGTCTGCGGAGGAACTCTTTGAGAGTCGACGCAATTGCCACGAAATGGGAACCCACCAAGGTTTGTTGGGGTTCTGCACATTTTAATGTTTGATGTCTTCTTTTATTTTGGCGACAAATTGCATTATCGGAGTTTTGTGATTTTTGTGATGGTGATTTGTGGGTGGCAGGTGGTTCCGCAAGCTGACAGAGTGCTTATTCGTCTCGAGGAGCTCCCTCAGGTATGCTGGCTTTTGGTCTTACCATTGTGTTTGGAAGTCTGGAGTGGCAACTTTATACGATTATCTTTTATTAGTCAGATTCCGAAACATCTGTGTCAATGGCTATTTAGTTGAGTATTTGAGCTTTTTGAAGATCCGTAACATTGTCAAATGGCTTAATGTACTGCTACGAATTGCATTCCTATGACAGTTGTGAAGATCCGTAACATTGTCAAATGGCTTAATAATTTCCTTTTAAATATAAATATGTATGTTTTTGTTGGTTCATTTCATGTTTATGTGGTGAAGATCACCCTAAAAAATCATAAAATATGATTATATTTGTATATCATCTCTACGGTATCCTTCCACTTGTCCTATCATTGTGATATCATACCATGGTGCATTCAATAACACATTATGTTAAATAGTGTAGATATAATCGATCCTATGTTATCATGATTGTTGTATGTTATCCTTGTGTATGTACTATGTAGAAATTTTCTATGAAGTTAAGCTATTGTATGAGGGCCTGTGAAATGGGAAGAGTGCCATTGGAGGAAACTTAACGGTGGAATGGTACCTGGTTTCAGGCAAAAGAGTGCCATTTGAATGATTTTTTCATGGCTTGAAGACATATTTATAGTATAATTCTTCTTTGTGGTCTTGTAGGTCTTCTTTCTAACTTTAATCAAAAGATTTTCAGTTAAGCAATAGCTTTTTATGGGATAGTATCTCCTAATTAGGTCCCCTGTATTAGTTTTATATTCTGGCAGGATATGTCTCGGATTGTATTAGGTTGATTCATACTAGTGACACTTGGGCTCAGTGTATTCTTTTTTACGTGTGACTCCTGGATGTTCAAATTCAAGTAGTTTGATAATAGGTGTCAAACTTGACCGAGGATCTTGAGATCGACCAGGAGTAAACCTTCAGTAGGGTTCCAAAGTGCAAACTATACTAACAATCTTGAACTCGATCAGGTTTAAAAGCCAAGTTCGCATTAGAGGCATTGTAATTAGGTATAACCTTTGGAATTTAAGGGTTTAGGTTTAGTCTTCTATATCCAAGTTCGCATGAGATGCTTTCCAAATGAAAATGGTTTGTATTTTTGGTTAGCATTTACTATGTTTGTCTCATAGAATACCTCAAAACAGATTTCATGTTAATTGCTGGCATTTAGTTGCCTTGAAAGCAGTTGGTTTTAAAACAGACTTCATTGTTTACTTTTCCTATGCCACAGAAATCAGCTGGAGGAGTTTTGCTGCCCAAGTCAGCTGTTAAATTTGAACGCTATCTTATGGGAGAAGTATGCCTACACTTTCTTTTTTGCATGTTTCCTGTTCTTTATTTTGAAGTAAGTAGTTGAATCTCAGGATAATTTACAAGCATTGTTATTCTCAGATTCTTTCTGTTGGTGCTGACGTTGGGGAAGTGAAGGCTGGAAAGAAGGTGAGTAATTAAAAGGTTCCCAAATAATGATAACAATTTTCTGGTGTGAATTAATGTTGGTTTTTTAAACTAAGCATTAAGTTTCTGACCAACTGAAGTTTTCTGTTATTTAGAAGTAGCGAGTTAGGTGCTTAACATGTCATCATAATGGAAATGCTTATTCATTTTGCAGGTTCTTTTTTCGGACATAAATGCATATGAGGTAAATAGAATAAGTTCATGTTGAGTTATTCCACTTATATTTTGGTTTTCCTGTGACTTTATTCCATGACACTGTTAACCTAATCCCGGCTGTCTAGCATTATTAGTGGTTTTCAATTTCCCGCTCCCCCTCCACACCTATGTTGCCGGGCCACCTTTCTTTCATTAGTTTTCTAGGTAAAGCTCAAGTGTCTTTAGTTTCTAGTTCTTTACATGCACAATTTTAGTGTTGAGCACAGCTGACAGAAAATTGCCACGCCTTGCTGTATAAGCCAATAACGGCTGACTGTAAAATATGGAACGGAGTAGAGATGTAATATATTCGTTGTAAACCGAAGTCTGTTGTGGAAATGTTCTGCTGTGATCCATGTAATGGCTGCATGTTGATGCTTACACAATGAATTGACATTGTCTTCAAAATTTGGTTTCAGGTGGATTTGGGAGTAGATGGGAGGCATTGCTTCTGCAAAGAGAGTGAATTATTGGCCGTAGTCGAATAAAGTTTCAGCTCCGAGTAGGTACAATGGTTTACATGATTGTTTCATGAGACTTTTCGTTGTCAGGATGTTTTTCCTTGTGGTGTCTCTCAATTCGCAAAACTATATATTCAACTCAAATTTGTAGACAACACTTTTTTGCATTAATTTATGTCATTTGATCTTCTTTAATTCAGTCGCTCCAATGACTGAAAATTGACAGGAGTGTGCTGAAGGTAAAAAGAGGTGTGTGGATGGCACCATCTGTATTTAACCTCCTTTGTGAAATGCAAGCTATGATAATCCGAAAATAATGATGCAAAATTGGACGTAGAGGGCATCTCGTAAAGATGGAGGCCGTTTCGTAAGGATGGCGGGGAAGGAACGATTTGTGTACATTGGTTATTGTTTGTTTATAAAAGTAAACTCCTGATTTTTCTCTTGAATTTTCATCTAACATTTAATTTATCCCCTAAACTTTTAAATTGGAAAATCAAGGACTTAAACTAATTTTTATTTATATTTTTGCTGATTTCCCCCGAATTGCTAGGTTTTTTATTATAGATTTCATCCAAATTAACGATAATTCTATGTGCACACCATGTTACTCTCTTTTGAGAACAAAAACGTCACTTCGTTATACCTGTATACACAAAATTTATAGAATCATACAAATTTGCACAGGTCAACATTTTAAAAATTTAGGTTTTTCAATTATTTTAAAGAACGAAACGATCAAACAACCCTCACATGTTATGCATGTATTTTCATTTAACATAAATTTAGATAGAATGAATGAAAGACTAACGGTAGGGGAAAATTAGCCAAAAAATTAGTTTTAAGTCCTTTTTTTTCAATTTAAAAGTTTAGGTGGTAAATCGAAAGTTAGGTGAAAGTTCAGAAGGAGATCGATAGTTTACTCTCGTTTATAAACACATTTGCACAAATTCCGTTACTTCAAAAACCATGAAGGAAAAGGTCGTAACTTAGCTGAAGCAGATTGTTTCATGGGGTCAATCTACATATCTTCCCCTTGGTTTTGTCTACGAGAGGAAGTGACCACCCAGCTCCCAAGAAGGTTTGAGAGTCTACGTTGGAGAACGAATGCCCCTAATGTGGGGTTGCAATGATCTTGGCGTGTCAAAGGTTTTAGAGAGACGAGTAGCATATACTTGTCTAACTTAGGAAGTTGGGAGGGACTAGATACAGAGTCATGCTCGACAAATGCAAAGCATACCGATCTCAATTGAATTTTCCACCCACCAACAAATAATTAAAAGTTGGGAAGTTGCATGTTCCTCGGAGCGTTTTTACTCACCACCAGAAAATATGTTATATGTTCACTATATATCTAATTATTTAACACGTGTTCTTTTATGTGACTTTGATTTACTTTTACATTAAACGTTAGTTTTTTAATTTAAAAAAAAAATTGAGCAAGGTTACGTGAAATGACACATGATAGATGATTAGGTTTTTATGAGTATATAGTTTATGGTGATAAGCAAAAATGCTCTCATGTTCCTCCTCCTTTTCATATCATACGAAGTTGGTGCATTTTTCAAACTAATTCATTTTCAAAGAAAAGTATAAGAGGGATTAACTGTTTTTTTTTTCTTCAATTCTAATTTCTCATCAGCTTATTTAACAAATAGAGAAGTTGGCTAAAATTAAGGATCATAAATCATATTCCAATTTCTTAATTGGTTGAATTAAAGATGAATAACATATTGTTTGTATTGTGATGACATAAATATCAACAGTATCACTAGCAATATCAGCAATATAGATTTGAAAATCGCGTGATTGGATTATTAATTCCCGTGGTGATAGGGTAGTTGGAAGAATAGTCCTTGTGGTAAAAAAAAAATTAAGATTTAAGCCCTTGTGGCGAAGTCTGTTAGATTTATGGCCAAAATTGAAAATTTTATAACTCTTCCATAATTATTAGCACGTGAGCCACACATATTATGCTAAAACAGAACTCTAAGTTAATTGTTAGCATGTGATGATTAAATGTGAGACTAACTTTATATTTTTAGTCTCATATTTGATTTTCATGTGCTAATAATTAACGAAGAGTTGACGACATTTTCAATTTTGAGCTTAAATCCTAAAAGATTTCACCACTAGGGTTTAAATTCTAATTTTTTTACCACATATGTTATTTTCCAATTACCCTATCACCACGGAATTAGTAATCAATTAAGCCTTTGAAAAATGATATTTTCGACTAACTTCTCTAACATATATTCTACTTACGAATAAAAAGTAATTATGACCATTCGATATGATCAAAGTAGTGAATGTACCACTTGGAAGTTAAAATGAATGTGCACTACATTTGAATTTTTTTTATCAGAACGAAATTCTAATTAATCTATCTAAACTATGGAGGATCGAAATTCAAACTTGAGGCCAATTAGTTATTTCAAAGACTAATAAAAACCAAAGTTAATTAAAAAGAAGCAAAAACCCCCATATCAGCCTTAATTTTTTTTTTTTTTTTTTGCATTATTTCCAACGAAGAAGTACAATATGATAACAAAACTAATTTTTTATCCCATAAGTCCTTATTCATTTGTGCATGCATTTGTAGAACTTTGAATAAACCAGCTTGTACTCAAAGTTATGTATTCTCCATGCGTGCTGCTGCTTATAAATTGCGCTCTCCCCTCATATCTCTTGCTACCAAATTAAGTTCGCACAAACTGATACCATGGAGCTTTACAGGTTCTTTCCAACTGTGTTTTTCTCATATTTTTGTATGCATGCTCTTGTTGTTCACTCCTGCCATGGTTTGAGACTGAGGGGAAACGAGACAGATCGACTGGCCTTGCTAGAGTTCAAGGCTAGCATAACCAATGACCCTTTTGGAGTCATGACTTCGTGGAACGAAACCATCCACTTCTGCCATTGGTATGGAGTTTCATGCGGTCGTCGTCACCAGAGGGTCACGAGGTTGGACCTGCGGTCCTCGAAACTTTCGGGCTCTACATCACCCCATGTCGGAAACTTGAGTTTCTTGAGACGGATTCGTCTCCCCAACAACAGCTTCAGCAATCAAATACCTCCAGAGTTTGGCCGTCTGCGCAGATTGCAACATTTACTATTGCAGAATAATTCATTGAGTGGTGAAATACCCTCCAACTTATCCAGGTGCTCTCAACTCCTAAGAATGTCTCTTGATTTTAATTTTCTCGTAGGAAACATTCCTAAGGAGCTTGGCACCTTGTCCAAGCTAACAGCTTTTGCATTTCATGACAACCAGCTCACAGGAAATTTTCCCAACTCCTTTTCCAACATATCATCACTTGAACTTATTTCTGCAGCTGCTAACAATTTATATGGGAGTATTCCAGATATATTTGGCCAAATGACCAATCTTACGTTCCTTTCTTTCGACGCAAATGACCTGTCCGGAACGATCCCCCCCTCAATCTTCAATCTCTCTTCTATCACAACCTTTGCCGTGTCAGTGAACAAAATCCAGGGGACTTTGCCCTCAAACTTAGGTATTGCCTTTCCAAGCCTCAAACATTTTTCTGTTGGCAAGAACCAATTTAGCGGACCTATTCCTGTTTCAATTTCTAACGCTTCAAATCTGTATCATCTTGCAATGGAAGGAAACAAACTACATGGAAAAGTCCCTTCGTTAGAAAATTTACGTAGGCTTGGGTGGATAGTTCTTGCTGATAACAATCTTGGAAGTGGGGGAGTTGGCGATTTGAGATTTCTTTGCGATTTGACTAATGCCACCGGTTTAGAAATGGTAGCAATTCATTTTAACAATTTCGGGGGTGCCTTGCCTCAATGTATAGCCAACTTATCTTCTTCTATTTTACAAATCGGCATGAGTGAAAATAAATTAGTAGGAAATATACCGAATGGGTTTGGAAATTTGGTTAAGTTGGAGACCCTTTGGCTGTCTGGGAACCGACTTTCAGGTCACATTCCGCCAGATGTTGGAAAGCTTCATAACTTGTATCAACTAAATATGAGTTTGAACTCTCTTTCAGGGAATGTTCCATCCTCTTTTGGAAATTTAAGTAGATTAAATATATTATATTTACATGAAAACTACCTTCAAGGCAAGATCCCTTTGAGTACTTTGGCACAGTGTGAAAATTTGAGGGTGTTATCTCTTGGTGCTAACAATTTCAGTGGTGTCATGTCCCCTGAAGTCATCGGTCGTCTGTCATCTTCATTGTCTGTATTGGATTTATCTGAAAACCATTTGACCGGATTCCTTCCAAAAGAAATAGGACATTTCCCAAATCTGGAGGCTTTTGATATCTCAAATAACATGTTCTTTGGTGAAATTCCTCCAAATCTTGGGAGTTGTATTAAATTAGAGTTTCTAGACATGGAGGGGAACTTCATCCAAGGGGATATTCCATCTTCTTTGGGTTCACTAAGAGGTTTAATAGGGCTATATCTATCTCACAACAACTTGTCAGGCATGATTCCAGAATTCTTGGAGCGGTTTGAATTTATGCAATCTTTGGACCTCTCCTATAATAATTTTGAGGGCATGCTACCAATGAAAGGGATTTTCAGTAATGCAAGTGCCATATCAGTCAAAGGAAATAGTAAACTTTGCGGTGGAATACCTGACTTGCATTTGCCAGAATGCAAATTACAACGTTCCAAGAAGGGAGGATTGAGTCTAACCGTCAAATGGGTAATCTCTCTTATTTTTGGTCTTCTTGGAATCACGTTTGCCATCATGTTTTGGTACCTTTGTAGCGTAAGGAGAGAAAGAAAGGAGCATACTTCAAGTGATTCAGAAGAATTTCTCAGGCTATCTTACCGAAGTCTTCTAAATGCAACAAATGGATTCTCCATTTCCAACTTGATTGGCATGGGAAGTTTTGGGTCTGTTTATAAAGGAGTACTCGAACAAGGTGAAACAGTTGCCATCAAGGTAATCAATCTCGTTCATCGTGGCGCTTCCAAAAGTTTCATTGCTGAGTGTGAAGCCTTGAGAAATATCAGACACCGTAATCTTATGAAGGTACTCTCTGTATGTTCAGGGATTGACTATCGTAGTTGTGAGTTCAGGCCTTGGTATATGAGTTTATGGTTAATGGGAGCTTAGAGGAATGGTTGCATCCAACTGAAGCAATTGGTGAAAACATTGAGAGACCAAGGAGCTTGAATTTTTCTCAAAGGTTGAGTATTGCAATTGATGTTGCTATGGCGTTGGATTATCTGCATCATCATTGTGAGACACCAATAGTCCACTGTGACCTCAAACCCAGCAATGTTCTTCTCAATGATGATATGGTTGGACATGTAGGGGACTTTGGTTTGGTAAAGTTTCTTCGACAAACTACTCAGAGTAGTGATGGTAATTACTCAAGCTCCGTCGGAGTAAAAGGGACAATAGGTTATACTCCTCCAGGTGAATATATATTCTTCAAATATCTTTTTATTTAGTATTTTTTCTCATTAGTAGATCATATTGACAAATGAAATTGGGCTTTAAGAAATTTTAATTAGAATTTTTTTTTTTCGATTCATGAATAT